GTAATATGAGCGAAGGATATCAATGTTCAAACACTGAAGATATCGACGGAGTTGCAGGAGTCGGAGTTTAAGTGCGAGGCTGAAGAAAAGCACGGTGATCGCTGTCCAGAACTTTCTACGGAAGCTACAGCCTACAGCTTCATGCCGCGCCAAGCCCGCCTTTACACATCGGTGCGACCATTGGCAGGCGCAACCAGGTTGGCTGGATTCTTTACGAAGACGGTACTCTATACATAAAACAGCATGACACGTCTTGACGGCATAATCACTGGTGAAGGTGCTTCTTTGAGCTTGTTGTGTCTTGTAAACATTGACATGATGCTCGCGATGAGGGGCAACGCGGGGCAGTGACCGGCCTTCGTCTTAGCTACACTCCGAAAGCTACACGGCAAGCCTCAGCGCTAAACTCGCAAACATTACCTGAACGGTCAGCAATAATATCATGGCATATGCATCTTGATGTTATTAGACTCCCATGCGCAAATCTACTCCTCTTTGCTCACCGATCTCATCTAACTCGAAAATAATAGTAAGCTCAAAAACGCCATTTGCAACCAGGTATCCACGCGTATAATAATAGAAGCACTTTTCGAGCTGCTGCCAACGCCAAAACATGATCTCTATGCGCACAACATTATCGTCTTGCCGACATGGAGAAAGGGAGAGCTGTCGACACTAGCTCATTGTGTTCGTAGTGGTAGGTGAAACCACCCTGCAGTGTCCGTCGCAGCGCATTCAGCCTCTGCAACTTCCACCACTTGTCGATTCTGACCTCGACATTCTTGTTGATCTTGACCTTCATCCTGCCCGCCCCGTAGGCCTTCCCAGTCTCCTCATGTAGGGCGGTGGAATAGGCTGGACCGCGCGATGGCTTCTCAACCGAATTGCGGATGTCTGCGAAGGACGAGTGTAACGCTTTGCGATCCTTCTTGGATATGCGGCGTGTCGAAACGTTGGCGAGTTCGTCGAGCGTGTGCATGAGCTGATCCTGTCTTCGCCAGACTGTGTAGCGCTTGACTAACCGCTCGCCGTCGCGGACGTGCTCTGGGTCATCGGAGTCTGCCTCTTCTTGGACCTGTTCGTCCTCTTCTTGTGGAGTGAGGGACTTTTCGTACAGGAGCGCGATGTTCTCGCCTGCTGCAATCTGAACACCAGAGTCGGCACTTTCAAGCTGCTCGACAAAGGCCTCCATTGCAGCTTCCGTTTCTTCCTCCAGATCATCGATTTCGGTTGCGAGGAGACCCCACTCTTCCAAAGCGGCAATCACGACATTGCCCTCGTCCTGGGCGTCGATAGATGCGCCGTCTGACTCTATGATCTCAATGAAGAGGTTCATGATGTCCAAGATCTCATCGTCGCCGGCCCCAGCAAAGAAGGCAGTTGTGCCGAGTGTGTGGATCGCGTTGACTTTGATTGCGACTGAGGGGGAGGACTGTATCGATCGCTTGAGTTGGTCGGAAACGTCGTCGTAGATGCTATCGGAATCGAGAGTTACGGCAGTGACAGCGAGGGCTGGCGAGCGTTAGTAGAGGACTATCTATAGTGTTTGCGCGTGTACATACCTTTTAGGGCTTTGACAACCTCAGCCTCCGTCGTCTCCTGTCTGATGCTCTTAATCATCGACGAGACGAGCTCGTTCACATGTCCCTCAACCTCATCCCTCGCATAGCGGGCCATGAGTACGTGTGCGTAGGCATTCAGGCTTTCGGTGCGCCCCTCGGTGCTGCTGCGCTTGAGGTTGGTGATTTGTTCGATGCGCGTGTTGAGCTCGGCCTTCCACGCGTCTTCAGGTATGTTGATATCTTCGCCGTTGAGTACATCGTCGATGGATGCCGTGCTGTGAGGATGTCAGTACATGTTCGCGCGAAGGTGGCTAGACGCGATGATGTCACCGGTGCCGTCGCGATGTGGGGAAAATCAAAAAAGTTATGCGCAGACTGAAACTCACCTCCATGCAGTTCCGTCGCTGAAGCCGTCTTCGTCTGAAGAGTCCTGGCGACTGCGACTGGCGGCGCGCGACTGTGCTGGCGAGCCTGCTGCCGACGTTGTCTTTGAGGCTGTCGTAGATACGACGCGCGAGCGGGCCTTGCGCGACATAGTCTTATGGCTCTCGAGAGCCTGTTTTCGGAGGTCGCGCATCTTGGGCTATGGGTGATAAATTTCTGGGGGAAACTGTAATATATGCCTGTAGAGGCTGAAGTTTGCTCGGTGTGGCGGAACCAAGATTGGACTGCGGGGAAAACAAGGTGAAGGCGCAGTTATTGAAACGGTAAATACTCTGTGAACTGGATTGTGTAGAAATATAAGTGCGGTGTGAAAGACATGAGTATGAGTCAGAGCAAAATGCAACCAAGGTAGAGGTTGCAAAGGTACGAGGACGTTTGGTGGTGCAGGAGGCAACTTGCAAGTGTCAGATGTTCATCCATCCATACGACCTATCCCGATTCCATGGCTGCCCAAAGTGCGCTAACCAAGACCTACGTCATTACAGTTCTGTCTTCTTCCAAACGATGTACCTAGGTTACTAATCTCCTTCCTACCTGCGGCAATATCGAAGCATGTAGTGAATTAGCAATCACCATTATCCAGCAAACACCCAGCGCTTCGCGACGATCTTGTGTAAGCTAAATGGCCGCATTGCTGATTGGCTCTACGCTCTCCAAGGCTTTCGAGGTACCAAAGCACCTAGCTCACATGGAGAATACTTGGTCTTCACCTTGACGGCCTGAGCGACTAATTATACACTCGAAGGAAGCCGCGCACAGTCATCAACGGACCGGTCGCAAGGGCGATGCAGACAGCATTTCAGCTACTGTGCGACCATCCCCAGCCCTACCTTGGCGTCACATTCCTCCGATGACCGATCAGGCCTTCTAAGACATCATTGAGGCTCAAGTGTTGCGATGGGCGGCTCAACCATCGACCCGCCCAGCGTTCGAAATAGCTGCGGCGCAGACAGCGTTCGCGCAACCCACGACCGTTTGGTGCACCGCAGGATCTCTCGATGGATATGAATAGACAGCAGGATCACGGGGCCAAATGCCCCACGCCCGCCGTGTGTTGCAAGCGGCACAACCACGTGGAGTCAGAACTGTGCCAGCAGCGGATCGCTCCCCGCGGCTCGGGCTGAGACGTGTTGCTGGACCTCGACCTCAGCCTCGGGTTTAATCTCCATCTGGCAACCGATGCGCCGCGGACATAGGTGTTAGGGTTGGTCATGGATGCGGCACAGAACCTTATCACAAGCTCTGTCTCCTGTGCATACGGTCTGCGAACTTGTGTGCTTTGGGTGAGTGAGCGTCCTCGCTTCACCTGGCATTGGCTTATCTATGACAGCGGCAATGTTGGTCTCGGCACCACGGCACCCATGTTCTTAACCCCCAGAACTTCACCATCAAAGCAGTGCTTCTTGCGACCCGGCATCTCATTGCAGGACTGTGAACCGAACATACCCGTCACCGACGTAACGGTAGACGGCATCCAAGGCAGACGCCGCAACGTGGGAGATGAGGAAGCCTGCAAGGCTCATGTGGCACAGTACCAAGCCGCCACGCACGCAACCCCTTCCTTCGGGTTGAATGCACATCATTCATGCATCCTCATTGTTGGATTCCAAATCCCCTGTCCCTTCCCCTTCGCATCGACGTCAGCTTGGTAATAAAGCGCACACGCACACACAATACGCACAAGACAATGCGACTGCTGTGGGGAGCTTGGACAGGTCAAGCGAGGCTTATGCGGCGCAGTCACCAACACACCTGTCTAGTCGACTTACAGCAACTGTTGGCGAGTCCGTAGGCAACCCGCATCTGGATCCTCCGCAATACGCGAGCAGGATCACGAACAAGCATCAAGGATGCCAATCCTGCCAGGGCACCGGTCAACGTTCTTGCAGCACCTCGAAGACACGATGTCACGATGTCCAGAGGCAACCTCCGCTGACTAACGTCTTTAGGCAACCAATGCGCGTAGAGGTAGGCAGGAAGTGTACCTGCCTAGACAGCACTATCGTCGAAATAGCTGCTTGCGCAATCGAGATTGGTCTGCTCGTATAGACAATGTACAAGCTTACACTATGTCTTGCCATCCGGCCCGATTGATCAACAACATCGTATCAACGAACAAAAAACTCTGATATGTATTCTGTTTGTAGAGCGAGCAACCAGGCCAGAAAAATCTAAAATAGAACAACACATTCCCAAAGCGCCTCTCAGGTTCTAGCCGTTCTAGTCTCCTAGCCTGAATCATGTATGTATATGCCCGGACCATGCGATGCTATGCAAACAAAATCAAACCAAGACTCTAAACAAACTGTGCAAACAATGCTATAACCAAGACGCAAATAAACGAGAGATCAATGCACACCGCATGTACTCTAACCGAAACCCCATGCCATGTCGTCGTTTAAGCCTCACCGCCTGTGGAATGTCTCCGGGTCAGGGGCCGGTGCTGCAAACAAGTCTCCGGTCCCACCAAGCAAGATGTCTTGTTCGGCAAGTTCCGCGTTTGTAAAGGAGAGGGCATGGCGTTGTTGTAGTAGTAGTAGTAGTTGTTGTTGTGACTGTTGTAGTGGTGGTGGAAGCGGATGCTGAAGTAACGAGGAATCTAGGCCTTGCTCTTGCGGAACGTCCAACCAGGACAACGTTGTTGTTGAAGACGCAGATGGGGGTGCAGTTTGAGCGCTCAACCGACTGATGCCCGCACTAGAACTCGCACCCCTGCTCCTACCCCCCGCTCTATCACCTCTTCTTGACGGGCGTTTGGCGACCCTACCGCGTGTGACGGTAGTACTACGACTCCTCGTCGACATCATTGACGTCGTCGAAGTAATGGGTGCTCGTACAATCCCACTCCCACCACTTCGTACACGCTGACCAATTCTCCCCTCACCCTGTTCTTGGCCCCCCGCCCCCTCCCGCATACCCTCGTCAACCCTACACCCCAATCAGCGCCTCCTCTTTCTCATGCCCCCCCGCTTCCCTCCCATATGCGAAGTAAACTCACTGGTGAGATCCTCCCGCGCCACCTCCTTCGGGCCATCCAAAGGGGAAGGCGCTTCGCTCCCCTGGTCTCCGCTTGGGAATGTCCATGTGGTGGAAGTTGCGGAGGTGCTCGACTAGATGGTCGCGTCGTGTGAAGCCTTTGTCGCCTACGCGGTTGCAGCGCGGTACGTTGCAAGGGTACTCTGGGGTGCCTACGCCGTGGACGGTGGATTGGTGGCGTTGCAGGTCTGCGAGGCGGGTGAAGTTTGCTGAGGAGGTGCAGGAGGCGATGTCGCAGGTCCATGTTCTGTGGGTGAGATTGGTTAGTGGATGGGAATGGGGGAAGGGAGATGGAGTAATTACTTTGTTCGACTGCTGCTTCTGCTTTGATGTTAGTATCTCAACACCATGTTTCGATGTAAAGATGCTCACCTAGTCGGAGCTTGCGAAGAACTCATCCCTAGATCACCACCGTGACTTTGCCAACCTCCAACGTCATACCCACTAGCTACTGGCTGTTGGTATCCAGCAGTCGGTGCAACATTGACAGGTTGCACGTAGTAGTCTGGAATGATCTGGTACGGTTGAGGTGGGTAACATTGATACTGCGCGTAGTATGTGTTGATCTGGGATTGTGTGTATTGAGGTACTGATGAAGCTGGGTAAGACGTTTGATAGTTGTAGTTCCCTTGGTCAGAAGAGGAATACTGGTGCTATTAGTCAAAGCAAGTGACGAAGAACAGGTTGAATATGACTTACGCTGTATCCGGACATGGCGGGCGAAGGCGGTTGTTCCTGCTTAGGGCGTATCGTCTTCGTCTTCTTCGTACGGTTTGTAGTGCTAGAAGGGCGATAGGCGGGCGCCACGGGCGAAGTGATGATGCGTAGCTTGTTTGGTCTGGATGCCTTTCTTGTGCTAGAGACGGACGTATGTCTTCGAGGACGCAGTTGAACTTGCTCAAGAGATCTATGAAACCAGTGTTAGAAGTTGTCGTTGATGATGCTGTTGCTTTTGCTATCCTGGCATGCTTTCGAGTCTTATATGAAGCGAGCATGATAACTCGTTCCCTCATATCGGCAAAGACCTTTCACTGCCACCCCAGAGCTTATGCTATAGACCCTCAAGAACCGCATCGACTTACAGGTATTTCGGAGGGAATGAACCGTCCGGGCGCCCAAAGCCATCTCCCTGAGGGCCGTAGTATGCCAACATGGCGATGACGAAACAAAGTTAGAAGTGTCGTAAGGCGAGAAGTCGGATCAGGTTGTGGATTCGCTCGACAGGGCTTGACGATCGCGTCTTTGGTAAGCGTTGCGATCTCCTTGTACAAGGACCGCTACGCCAGAGGCCAAATGTGTGAATATAGAAGTCCAAGATTGCTGAGGTGGATGCGTAGGATGGCGAGGCGAAGCCAGTACCAGCTTGGTGGTACCCCACACAACTAATCGGTATAGGGCTGACGACAACTAGTGTCCGTGCTGTCACCGGAAAATGGAATTGTAGGGTCTGGTCGCGGCGCGGGTGAATCAGAAGGCCTAATGTTGTCGTATGCTGTGGGAGAATTGAGGCGGTGAAATAGTGGTCTAGGTGTAGAGGTAGGAAGCACAACGAGGACACTGGTAGATCTGTGTCGTCTTATGGCGATGCAGGGCGAGTACCCCTAGGCCCCGATCCAACTTTAATTGAACTGTACCATCTCTTTCATTTGTCGTTGTCATGGCTTGGCAAGGCAAATAGCTAGAATAGTCCAATGCGTACACGTTGGTGTTCTCATCTTGGTGTACCGGGATATATGATAGGCATGGTTCACCGATTAACACACATGCGGGTAGGTCGATGGGCCCCGTGTGACTGGATGTGCATGCGTGGCTCTTGTTCGCGTACTTTCGTTCCGCGGTGTAGGAACGAACCCCTGCTACGCTGCAGAACGTGGCCTGGAGCCTAGCGATCGGCCTGAGGTCTATCATGTTTGACATGGTCGTTTCGCGATACTCCAGGCTCTTCCAGCTGGCTCTCGGTAACGCACCCGACCGCTTGATCGCTCGAAACTATCAGAGCACTTGTGATGACAGCATGCCTTCGAAACGCATTGAGATCAAACATTGCTTGACCGCCCGTCTCCAAGTAGGTTAGCCGTCATCAAACGCCCATTTCGCGTCCTGTCTTCGTCTGTCTCTGCTGCTGCTGTAAGTGGGTCAATTAACCCGCAACCCGATGGACTTGGACCGGCGCACGAATGCCGTAAAATGATTGATGCAGTAACCGCTCAACTCAAAGTCATGCACGAGTTAGTGCTGCCGGGCGTAACGGGGCGTAACTGAAGCTTGAACGTCGCGGAAGGATTCCTCGCTTAGGCGGCCAGTGACATGCGACCAGCCTCCTCCTGCAGCCCTGTAGGCTCCACCGATTGGGGGCGGAACCCAGTGTAACGTCGTCTGGACCAATTGAGCACATTCCGCAGCCGTTAGCCACATCATGTCAGATTACGCCCGGCGCTCAGACCGCTACAACATCCTTGGACGGCCAAATTGTCGCGGGCGGAGGGCCTGCACTTGGCAGGTGAGCCTCAATAAGTGCTATTTGATCCATGCATAATTGTCTCACCATGACTTACACCTCGCGTGGTCGGTCGGGTGCCTGCGGGCGGACATTAATACGCACCAAAGATACCCTCATGGAAGCGATTCAAGATCCGAAGAGCAAAAGTTGTGTGCCCTCGACGGGACCCATTCCAGGACTACCTAATACTTAATCTTAATACAGAACTCAATTACCCCAAGCCGAGCATGCGGGTCGGTAAGAAGAAAGCAGCCGACTGCTCATAGCTCATCTTCCAAAAACTTGTAGGCAAATCGGAAGTCTGCTTTCCTACGGTTCATCCTGCAATAAGGTTAGCACTGTATGACGTGCAGAAATAGCACGGCGTGGCGCGAGTTTGTAATACGGCAGCCCCGCGTAAGGCTGGTGGACAGAATTAGGTGCTTACCATGTGCTCTCATAGTCAAAGAAGCGGTACGTCCCCTGCTCGTAGTCTTCCGTGATTGCTTTTGGTTCTTCGTGGCGTTGGAACCATGTTTGATATTGCTTGTGAAATCTCCAGCTCTGCGACTTGAGTGCCTTTGCAGCCAGGTATTGCTGGTACGTGCCTTGGCGGTAGTAGAAGGCGTAGAAGAGAGCGTCGGTCTCGATGCGGGAGTACAAGCGAGGATCATCGAAGATGGGTAACGGCTCTTGCGGGTAGTGCGCGGGCGTAAACGGATAGGGATTCTGGGGTCGGTAGTGGCGCGGCGCCTCAGTATCCGCAGAGTCCGGCGCGGTGGCCATGGATGTTGCTAGCATGTGCTCATTCGGAGGTTTTGAGGCAGAGGCGGATATGTCGTTCTTGGTCGCCTCAAATGTGTCCAGGAGGTCCTGTAGGCTCGACGGTAGATGATACACTGATTCCTCTTCCTCCTCTTCTGCATGAGAATCACCGTTCGTTAGGGGCGGGGTGGCAGCCGATGACTCCTCCTCTTCTACAGGCTCGGGAGCTGGTGTCCTTCTGCTGGACTTCGAAGCGTCTTCCGACGAAACGGCGCGCGAAAGGGTCTCCTTCTCCGCAGCAGGCGTCACGGGTATACTTGCCGCGGGAGCTGGCGATGCTTGTGCGGATTCGGCTGGCTGCGCGCGCGAGGCCAGTTGGGAATGTGTTATTGCCGGGGAATTCGCTGCACTTGCCCGTGCGCCGCCAGGAATGAGGCCTGACTGTGCTGCGGCCCCTCCCGGTGGTGGTGGCAGAGGAGCAATGCCCACTCCATTCTTATCGCTCGCGGCTGCAGCAGCGGCGGCCGAGGCGTACTTCAAGGGCTCGCCCGGCGTCCTTGTCGGTATCGGCGCGGGCTTCATCGCGTTGGCCGTGGTATTTGAGACGCCAGGTAACGGCGTGTGCAATGTTGCTAGTGCTGGTAATGGCGACTTCATCTGTGTCGAGGGCCGTCGTGCCTGTTGTTGTACTGCCTCTGTCGCTTTCGGCTTGGGTGCTGGCGGTCGCACGTCCGACTCGGGTGTGTCGTCTGCTATCGACTGCGACTCGTGTGAAGACACATGGTCCAGGTTCTCCCCCAGGCCAAAGATGGCCTCCTCCTCTTGCAGGTTGAAGTCGTCGTATATTGTGTCGTCGTCCATGAACTCGGGGTCCTGATTGCTCTCGACGTAGTACTTGATACTGTCCTCAATCTCCTTGACCTGTTCCGTCTCGACATTGCCATTCTCCAGCGCTCGATGCAGCAGGTCCAGCTTGCCCTGATGCCATTTATTCCGCTCAACCGACTCTTCCAGCTCTGCCACGCGCTCTGCCTTGGAATTGTCCCCCTTCTTCGTCTTCTTGACGTTGGCATGTAATGTCTCGATCTCAGTCTCGATGGTCTCTATTTGGCGCTCCAGCTCCTCGTTCATCTGCTGCAGGAACTCGACCATCTCCATCTTCTCCTTGTCCTTGGGGTCGATTTTGGACGCTAATTGCAGGCCTTCCTTGGAGTATGCTTTCGTCTTCATCTCCTTTTCGACGGCCTTGAAGCGCTCCATTTGCTGTCACATGTCAGCGTCCCATCATGCCGGGAGGCGGCGGTCAGCCTACTGTCTCGATGAGCTTCCGGTGGTCGAGCAACGGCTTCTTGTCCTTGATCTCGGACATGGCGGCCCACGTCTTGATCTGGTCCCGCGAGCGCTGCAGCTTCTTGATCTCCTTCTTCAGCTGGTCCTCGAGCTTCTCCTTCTGCGAGGGGTTGCCCGTCTGCATGATCTTCTCATATATGTTCTCGAACGTCGCGACGCCTTCGGCGACTTTCTTGAAGCATTTGTCGATCTCCTGCTGGAGCTTGCGGGCGGCCATGGCGAGGGTCGAGCCTCGTCGTGAGGACTTTCGCGGTGGTTACGGCAATGATTGCGGCGCCGGGGGTGGCAGCGGCCGTGGGACAGTCGAATCGCGCGAGTGAGGGCGTTCGACGGGGAATGGCGTGGATGTTTGTCGTGGGCTGAATGCGGAGGCGGACGTATCGCATAGGTAACGCGATGCCACAGGGCTGGCCTAGCGTCCTCGCCAAGAGTGCGGCCACTAGCCACCACGATTGGCCCCACGCGTCTGGTTTCATCTACGCGTTCCACCCTCTTCCAGCCCCGTCTCATAATTGTCGCATGTCGCAATTCCCATGCGTGACGTCGTTGCGCTGCTGCCCATATCACCGTGAGGCTATCGCACACTGAGCCACCCACGTTTCTCTCACCACGGCTGCTACCCCGCCATCATGAGGAGTACGGACCCCGCCTCTATGCACACGTAACCACGACTATACTAAGCGTGTCTAGCGGTGCTGCAGAGGGTCAAGTCGGCATCAGTCACGGTCGATGGCCAGTTGATCTCCTCGATTGGCAAGGGCTTGCTGGTCCTTGCTGCCGTCTCCAAAGACGACACGGAGAAGGATGTTGAGGCCATGGCTAGCAAGATACTCAAGGCCAAGCTCTGGGACGACGAGTTCAAGGACCCGCCGGGCCGCGTATGAAGCCGATGCTTTTTCTCTCGGCTGAGACTGACATGTCAAGTGGAAATGCAACGTGACCGATATCCATGGCGAGGTTTTGTGTGGTATGTGTGAAACGCACTCTGCGATTCTTGGCTGTCTATGACAGTGCTTTTGCTGCGAAATCGGTGTGCTGAATATCGACAGTCTCCCAATTCACGCTACTAGCCTCTATGAACAAGGGAAACAAGCCGAGTTTCCACCAATCCGCAAACGGCGACCAAGCCAAGACACTATACCAAGCCTTCTTCAAAAAGGTCGGATCTCTCTATGAGTCCGACAAGGTCAAAGACGGACTCTTTGCCGCCATGATGGATGTTGCTTTGATTAACGATGGGCCGGTAGGTTTGGATTATACCTGCCTAGATGGCGAGGTACAACCTGAGCATTACATTTCCTGAGTGTGTGCCGCTTTGCCTGCTAATGCTAATGGACATGGCTAGGTCACTATTCAAATCGATACCAACCCGCCGAAGACGGATGCTTCAACCTCGGGTGCTCCAAACGGAAGCAATCAGCAAACAGTCGAAGTTGATGACCGCAAGTAGCACGTATAGTACACATGCAGGCCTTGTACTAACCCCTCCTCAATTCGTAGTGGTCAACAACATGACCAAAATCACGCAAGAGTTCAAGATCCCAGTAGAGCGACTTGAGTAGATGTCAATACAATCAGCCGCCGTGTTCACGATTGCCGACTTGCTTGTACCGAAAACACAACTTGATACTTTACACCACGGCTATGTCTCGAGATTGGAACGGGCCCAGGATATTATCATCGCTTCGCCAGGAGACACATACTGCCAAACAACAACACTGCACGCCGCCCAGCAGATACAACATCCATTCATACATGTCGCCTCACATCATGTCCATTTCCACTGCATGTACAAACGCTGCTTATGTCAGACATGCCGAACGTGCGCATGGGTTGCAACTCCAACCCGAGGATAGGGCTTGCCCCCGTGCCGATGCGCCACTGTCTTAACCGATATGCAGTTGGACTGAACCTTGCACATTACGCCCGGCAGCACGGTAATTAACTGGACCCGCGAATGACGGCGCGGCATGCAGTTGGATTGAGCACCTACGCTGTTTGAGGTAGGGTATGCGAAAGCTGTTAACTCGCCGGTAGATTGAAGAACTCTGTGCCAGTGACGGACCTATAGGAGAGTACACGGCTCTTTGTCGTCAGCACCATCTAAATTCGTCGATGGGTTTTTAAGCTACAGCTTTGCCCTTGGCCAAGTACGACGAGCCATGATCATGTCTCATCGACAAATGCTATCTCGCATGGATAAGTTGCTCGAAGATAGGCGCCTCTATCTTACCGCCAAGCTACCGTTGTAAGGCCTTCAGGTGACGCCTGCATGTCGATTGGTTGTTGGGCAGCTATCTCGACACCACCAAAGCGCGTATAATGTCCGGAAACACCTGAAACGCATCCATATCGAACTCGCTGGGACCTTTGCTGACAGTGATACTGACGTGTGACTGTATCCTACGCAACACACACCTCAAACGGACGTATGGACTAGATTGCAGCGACAACCTCTCCGAAACTTGTCGGGCGCCTCGTCAACTCCGCGTCTTGCTTCGCACTACAAGCTCCATTGCAGAAGTGGCAGTGCTGGACTCCTTCGATGCGCATCCATGACATTGGGCTGACTGACCCGCTACTTCCGGTGAAGAGACAAGGTTTATTCCTGCTTCTGCTTGGTAATACCTTCAACGCTTACCACGCCCATGAAGCTTCAGAATAGATCAGGCTTCGATGTGCCCACCACGTCAAGTATTCTGTCTGGTTTCTTCCCTTCGATAGTTGCACTTTCGACCTCTTTCACCACTCGTTCAAGCCCACGCAGCCGTTGGCTTTTCCTCCACGCCGCTTCTCGTGAGTTAATTGCGATTCAGCTTGCCGCTCGACGATTCCTGATTCGACACGTCTCTTGTTGGTCGACTGCACAATTGGAAGCTATTGGACTTTGAGGGGCGCGTATCCCGTAACCGCTCGGAACGTTGGTCGGCCATCGTGGGTAAAGGGTATCGGAGTAAATCTTGCTGGCTTATAAAGTGTTCAAAGGGTAATTCTAGTCCTCAAAGCTGATTTCGAACGGCGGCCGCATTGCTCGAATGTCATCTCACGTTGGACGCGCAGAATCCATCAACAGGCGCCGCTCGCGGGGGACACTCTCTTATATGCTTCGATCGTCTAATGTCGCATTCTCCGCGCAAGCCATGCAGCTGGATTATTACCCAATTAGGGTTGTTGATGCGAGGTTTGGCTTCATTCGATGCTCAACCCTGGTTTGCATTGGGAAAGCCAAAGGTCTCGGCTGAAGTCCACAGAAGTCGTTGCGTGTTATTGGTGAAACGGACCATCTTCATAAGTCTGCTCACCCAGACTCCAGCATATCTGCATACAAATTGAGAGAGCTTCCAATAACATCCACGATAGCCCAAGTTTGAGATCCTTTGAAGATCATCGCCCAGACCCTGAGCACCCCCGCGCTGAGATGTCGTGTAAAGTTGGGCGAGTCGGGCGTAATATCGGCGGGTACGGCAAACTCGGTCTCATCCAACATGCTTTTCACGATCGCAATGATTCTGTGCTCGTCTTCTGTGATGGGCGGGTCTGCTTCTGGTACCGATAGCGCTTCAAGCCACTTGCTCATGAGGTAGGCGCACTCGAGCGTGCACAGGGAGTGTTGAATGCTCCAGATGAACGATTGTGTCTTTGCCACGAGACGATAGCCGATCTTGATGGGTATAGAGAGTGCGTGAGCTGAGTGGAGCACAGCTCTTGTAATCTTTGGCGAGCGCCTGATTGTAGGCCCGGCGCGGAAGGCATTGGCAATCAGCACAGGGTCGCGCGTCTCTAGAGCTCGACCTGCGGTGTCCACGTAGAGTCGTATATATGCCAATCGAAGTAACGCAGTTGAGTTGAAAGCGACAGGACCGTTCTGCGACATCGGGTCGAGCGATGATTCAGGGTTTTGGCGCCATCCGGTCTGCCAGTTTCGCAGAGCGTTCTCGAGCGACGCGACGTCTTCTGCGCTCAGATCACCGGGTCCTTCAAAACGACATCGTGCCACTTGTCGGAGGAAGAAAACATGCTGTATCAGGGCGTGTATCAACGCGTAGTTTCCAGACGACGAGTTGACCTCGGTGACGTCGCGGCCTTGCTTTGTAAACAGACGTTTCAATGCATCCTGGAACAGGACCTCAGGCGCACTCTTCTTCCTCGCTTCCCTCCATAAAGCCTCTGTAGGAGCCTTGAATTCCGCGGCACTGCATGGCAAGGGCAACTTGACCTCGCTCGTTAGCATGAATGGAGGAATGTTGTAGACAATGCAATGGAGGTTGGAAAAGCCATAGACGATGAACTTGGTCCTTTTGATCGTTTCGCGCCGAATCCAGTCCGACCATGAGATGGTCTCATGGAGAGGATCGGTTTCGAGTCCGTCATCCCGAATGAGGGTAGCTAATATGCTTTGGATTGCTAACGCCTCTCTGAGAATCTCTTTGTGTTTTGCCCAAGTACACAGTGCCATGAGCAAGAGTAGTGCCTGAGCGGTCTGCATGAGATCTTCGCCAAGTACAGGAACATCAGCCTGGGAAGGTAGGCCCAGCGGTCCCGAGACGGAACCCTTACGTTGAGGGCTACGAGGGTCGCTCGGATGATTGCGGGGCGACGAGTGATCCGACTCAGAATGATGCTGGAGCTGCACCAGGCGCGTATCCCGTTTCCTGATGCGGTGCGTCGCAATTGCTTTGCTTACATTGAACAGCTCGACACCCTTTTCGCCCTCGAAAGTGTATTGCGCACCAATAGCCGCCAATGCTAGGAGTAGCTCTATCGAACACGTCTCCACGGACATTGTGGGTATGTGGAGGAAAGGCATGTGCTCGTGAAATCCGTTGATATACGCAGCAATATATCTGCACAGTGCTAATCGAGTTGGTAGAACGAAGTCGCTGGGTATGACCATGGAGAAGGGCTGGAGCATCTCGAGAATTTCCTGCCGATCCTCGTGTGAAATATCTGCGAATGATCGTTTCCGAGCGGATTGATCGTCTGGCTGCAAGGAAGGAAAACGAGAGCCGAAGCGTGAGAGCGACGGCGGCTCTTCCAATTGGGCTGGTCTCCAACCATGTGTAGGTGCTGTTGTTCCCTCTGGCTCGGTCGTGATTTGTTGACCGTAGCCAAATGAGTCTGGAGAGAAGAACGGCATGGGCTGTTCGGTGTTGATCAGGGACGCAAAGTGGTACGAATTTAGTGGTTCACTGTCAAGGAATGAAGTGAGACTGTCCAGTGACTCTCCAAAGGTCGACTCATAGCTATGAGCAGACGGTTCTGTGAGCATGGTTGAGTGTGGGCCTTCAACACTCGCGGCTATCGTGCCAGCATGCGAAGGAATTGGGGTTGGCATCGCATCATGAGCAGAGCCGTTTGCCATGTTACCTTGAAGAGCTTGATACTCGGCAGCCATGGACAATGCTGTCAAAGAGTAGGGGCTGTTGTGCCCGAAGGTCATGGAGGCGTGTGACATTGCAGGTTGTTGTTGCGACGATTGCATGTCCAAAACAGCAGGCGAGGACATCATACTGGGTATTTCGGGCACTGGACGTCCAGCATCGAAACTTGACCGCATGCGCTTGTGCGGCCGAGTCTCGACCGAACCATATGTATCTCCAGCGGGAGTATGCTGGTGATTCTGCTGTGTACTCTGCTCTTTGCGATGAGTGAGTCGCTCATGGCGAACGAGCAGATCACTTAAATTGAGTCTTTAGCTGCTGCCGTAAACGACGCTGGACGTATCATACCTGCGTGTGAATGAATAGTTGCATGCTGCGCAGCTGAAGGGCTTCACACCGCTATCTTGACGCATATTAGAATTGGCTTACGATGCGAGCCGCACGACTTACGAATGCGCTCATGACGCTGGAGATGCTCCAGCCTAGCAAAGGCCCGTTGGCAGTGTGGACATTGGAATCGCTTTTCCTTCTTCCCTGGTTGAGCTTGCGGGACCTGCTCTCCTCCACTGGTAGCGGCTTCCATCAAAGACCAATCGCGACGCTTTCGCTCACACAGGGCCCAATTGCGACCGGCTTAGCAGGCGATAGCCGAGTTTTGGAGCAGTCTGAGCACTTAGACGAAGATTGGAGACTGCAAGTCGTGTTTCACGAAGTCGGGTCGTGAGATTGTGGGGAAAGGAATGAAGCGCGGGGACGCGACGGTTCACATGCGGGGTGCTGGGAAGAGGTGGGAAAGCCGCCAATCACACGTGTGACATGTACGCACAGCCCAGGATGCACGCATATTGATAGAATGGATCAGGTGTAAGATGTTGGTTTGACACTTTCGCGCAGAAGCAAGGTATGGAGAATGGTGGTATTGCTACGATGACTGTCGAACAAATCGTGCCTGCCCGGGCCGGATGATCCCGGGTGCCACTTGCCCCAGCCACAGTCCAACGCGACGCGACGCGCCTTGTGTCCATTGTCACAAGTCAACCATCTTCACGCCTTCTTGCTCCTTTCGCCCAATTCTCGCGGCATTTCGCCTTTCTCTGCCATGTCATTCAGGACCTTCTCAGCTGTCTTCATCGCGTCGACCCCAGCGGGCACACCGCAGTATGTTGTGGCGTGAATGATGGCTTCACGGATCTCAAGCTCGGAAAGACCATTGTTCCTTGCCCCGCGCACATGCACAGCAAGCTCGGGGGCGCGATTGAGTGCCATGAGCATGCCGATGTTGATCAGACTTCTCTGCTTTTTGTCAAGACCTGGACGGGTCCAAGCGTATCCCCAGCACATCTCGGTGACGAGCTCTTGTCCGGCTCGTGAGAACTCAGTGGACCCGTTCTCCAGCGCGCGATTGACGTATTCATCTCCCACCACACTCCGTCTCATCTTCAGCCCTTCATCGAAGAGCTGCTTATGTAGCTCGTCGAGCTTCGGATCGGTCGACATGCTGGCGGTCGGTTGCTTCGAGGTGCGATGGCAGCTGTTGCGGCTTTGACGTGAAAGAGGCTGTCTATCTCAAGACGAATTCACAGGATGAGAATGACGATAGTCTTTTTACTGCGTGTTCGTAGTACTAGCACTGTGACAGGCTAACAAGACTGGCATGCTTGCCCCGCGATAGTAGCTTCATCTCACGGTTGCCCGCCCTCGGCATTACCCCAAGCATCCCCAACCTTCTCCAACTTCAACATGGCGCTAATACGACTAGTCACACACAGCACATCGAGATCCAGCGACATCGGGTATGACGACGATGGGGTGTCACAGCCCAAGCTGCTGCTCACGCGCCGTTCGATTTAGATTGCCAATCTTCCTGGCCACCGAGGTAGCGATATACCACCCGCGAGTCCAAATCTCTACAACGCGGATCGTTGGCTGCCCCATCGTATGTTTGTAGTCCAACGTCACCCAATACGTTTCTCGACCCTACTCGTTTCGCCATATCAACTGCCAACCCGAAATCTTTGCGCATCAGCTGCACTTTGAATCCCTGCCTCCAGCCTCCTGAGGACGGGGCTTCGGGGTATACATGTGGGACAGGGCAAAACTTGTCGCAAATAGTGTTCTGGGCAGTACCCGCAGCGTATACTTCGGCCAGAGTGCGGGGATCCAATCCGCTGCGCATTCCCATGTCGAAAGCCTCAGAGCAAGCTATTGCGATGATACCAGATAGGTAGTTGTTCGACAGCTTCGCTGCAAGCCCAAGGGATGGACCTCCGCACGGTATCACTTGCCCACCCATCAAACCCATCAGATATTTGAGGCGCTCAATATTTGGGTCCGACTCTGCACAGCCCAGAAAAAATGCGATTGTGCCTTTGATGGCTCCCACTACGCCGCCACTCACTGGGGAGTCATAGAACGATGCTGAGGGAAACTCTGCGGCGATATGATCCTTCACAGCGAGGCTGGTTGCCGTGTCTATTGTTGAGCAGTCGATGAGCAGCTTGTTCGAGATATCGGTGCTGCATACGCCGTTTTGAGGATCGAGATATACGGATCGTACATGTGCACCTTCAGGCACCATGCTTACAACTGTGTCCTGTCACCTCGTTAGCTACCATCTTCGCACGGTGGCTTCTGGACTCACGACTTGTTGCGCCACGTCTTTGGCGCTTTTTGCCTTCAAGACTCGACCGGGAAATTCTGCACACGCATCGTCTACCATCTGTTCGACCACGTCATAAACCCAAATGCGCGATTCCTCAGGCAATCTGTTGGCAAGATGAGAAAGCATTGGTTTTCCCATAGCCCCAAGGCCGATGAAGCCCAGCTTTCTAAAATCGTGCGAATGCGTCATGACGAATGCGTGTGCCAGATAGAGGTAGGGGATCGAGTTGAAGCTGAGAGCACATTCAAGAACGACAGAGAGCTAGCGTCGAGTGGGAAGTTGGTGTGTATACGAGACCTGGAAATTTTGAGAAACAAGTCACGTCAATACTCTACCATCAGAACGCGTGGTGAGCGTGCCGCGGCTGGTGAAGCGGGGTAGACATTTCTCCAACGGATAACGACGCACTAATCCTACCCACTCTTTCGCCAACACCTAATACCCCCATAGGTACCTTGGTAAGCTGAACGATGATCTCACGTGCCATCTCCATCTGCTCGTGCATGAGAGCACCTGCGGCTGTCCTTCTCAACAGCCATAGTCTTGCAACCTTGAGACGACATCATCTACGAAAAGCTCCATCATCCTTGAGAAATGTCTGCTATTGTCTCGCAAAAGCATTCCGACCATGCAGCGGCGGCCGTTGTCACTGTGCACGCGTTATCGTGTGGTCACTTTTCTCTTCCAGAGTACCAATTCGTACACCCTGTTAGTCGAGATGCACGCCGGACCGTACCTTCGTTAGCATTTCTGATACAGCACTACAACCAAAGCACCAAGAAGCGGACACGGCTTGTGTGCGATCTAGGCCTGAGGAGAGACATCAAGAGATACGCGCCACCAATACAAAAGCATGTCGAGACGAGACAGCCAATGAGTACCGATCCGGACGTCACCAAAAGCCTCGCGAGAGGCGGGCTAGTACCCGAGGACATCGATTATGTGATCTATTCGCACGTAAGTCACACGACCTTGCTTTGCGGACGGTAGGTAACGTGGCTACGGCAGGTGCATTGGGATCATATTGGCGAACCTCGAGACTTTCCTTCATCTACCTTCGTTGTCGGCCATGGTTCACTTGCCTTGCTTGATGGCACATCGTCGTCTTTGCGCGGTGGCCATTCTTTCTTCGAAAGTGATCTTCTGCCAGAAGAGCGGACTATTGAACTATCGGAACCTTCGGCAAACGTGTTGACGAAGCACGACTCATGTAGAGAAACGGGCGCTATCAACTTCGGTGGCTCCTGGCAAACGCACGGAAACCTCCCTCAGACTTTGGACGTCTTCAATGACGGCTCACTGCTCATCGTCGACGCACCCGGTCATCTACCAGGACACATCAATCTTCTTGCTCGGACATCTCCTGACCACCAAATTTACATGGGCGGAGATGCATGTCACGACAGACGACTGTTGACCGGAGAGAAAACGATCGGAGAGTGGAACGATGCTCATGGACAAGTCTGTTGCATACATGCCGACAGAAAGCAAGCTGAGGCGACGATTGACAGAATCAGAACCCTGGAGAAAGAAGGTGTTGAGATCATCTTTGCACATGACGTTGAATGGGAGAGCGACCCAAAGAACAAGACGCGGTTCTTTGGCGCGGAGCAAAGCATGGATGGTTAGTCGTTAGCGTTCAAGACGTCACCTAGCAATTGTTCTGAACAGAATGTCGGGATACCGATCGCCTCTCGTACATACTACGTTGTCGACTCGCAGTATGGGGAAGCTCAGTTTACTCGCTACAGCTGTAATCCTTCTCGTTCGGCCACCAGGTGGTGTCCTGATCCCTGCACTTCCCCACACGACAGAATTGGGGAAATGTGGGGCTTGCTTGCTCACCACCATCAACTATCCTCGGAAGACGCGGATTGAGGGGCGGCAGGCAGAACAATGCAGACTGCATCCGCGGAACTAACAATCTTGTACTTCATGCGTTCCTGTCTCAATGCCGGGGTCTTATATGTTCCGCAATGATTTGAAAGCAGTTCTCTTAGTGGTCTCAGTGACGCAACCTCCACCTGTGCTATTCAAGTCTTCACTTCTGTCCAAAAGATTGATCTAAAACATTGATACCATTACACAACATGTCTCTCTCACCAGACCAACAGCGCCTAAAAGAGCACTTCGACACCGAGCTCGGCTCCGCAGCCTACGATGAGTCCTGGGCGCGGATGCTCAAACACTCACCCGAGATGTTCGCAGCGTCGCTCCGCCTAACAGCCATACCAAGGCGAAGCAGCCACCTATCACCCAAGATCCAGTCCCTAATCTCCCTTGCCGTAAGCGCATCATCAACCCACCTCCACGTCCCCAACATCCACCGCTACACACGCGCCGCCCTCTCCGCAGGCGCCTCCCGTGCCGAAATCGTCGAAACACTGTGTCTCACATCCACCCTGGGCATCCACGCCTCCACAGTCGGCGTGCCAATCCTCTTAGAAGTCCTCGAAGAGCGGGGCGAAGCCATGCCAAAAGGCATGGCGAGCATGAGCCCGCAGCAACTCGCGCTAAAGCAAGATTTCGAGACGAAACGCGGGTACTGGAACGCGTTATGGGAAGAAATGTTGCTCATTGCACCCGACTTCTTCGACGCGTATACGGAGTTTAGTTCTGTGCCGTGGACGAATGAGGGGGGCAAGGGCGTGCTTGAACCCAAGGTCAAGGAGCTGATATATTGTGCGTTTGATACGGCGGCGACGCATATGTATAAGCCGGGGTTGAAGCTGCATATGCGGAATGTGTTGAATTATGGGGGTACGAAGGAGGAGATTATGGAGGTGTTGGAGTTGGCGACGTTGTTGAGTATTAGTACTTTGGATGTGGGGTTGGAGGTGTTGGATAAGGAGATGGGAGGACGGTAGCGGCATAGAATGTTAACTTAACGACGAGCGCGGAGCCTACATCGATGTTGGATCCCCCACTTTGCATGTTATCCATGTAGTGTTCAGTCTTTTCATGTATGAGGTGAGCATGGAATTCTAGTGGCATGTATTACATTTGATCGGCGTATTATGAAGGCTGCTTGGCAGCAGATCTATTATACTCAAAAAAATCCACTACCGACCACCTCCTCCCCACGCGGCTTTCCACAGGAATCTCGGTGGCTTTCCGCACAGAAATCGCGGCCTCACCGGCGCGTTGCCCGCAAATTCAAGCGTCGTACCATACAGCGACAGAATCGATCCCATGAGATCATATCCGTTCCGTCTAGCCCAGTAGATCGGATTGCTGCTCCTTAGGAATTCGTATTCGCATTCAAGTCCGCGCTTTTCTCGGCAGACATCCCATGCTTCGTGCAGAATGTCGAAAACATGCTGGCTAGGCGCCGTATGCTCTATGATCAGAGAGAACGTACGCATGCTTTCCTTGAGATTGTTGAAACCCATCGTAGGGTTCTTCTCCCAATAGCCAGGTATCGTGTATTGCCAGGTGTGGCTATTCCCATACGCACGAGTGTAGGATCCGTACCATTCTATCAATTCTAAGGCGTACTCGCCCAGGTTGTACTCTAGTTGCAGACCGGGCTGGGAGATCTTGTCGCTTAGTGTCATCTCGTCTTTGGCCACGATACGCGTTTCCGGATCGCGATGTAGCTGATCGTGGCATTTGCGTACAAGACCCGATAGCGCCAGAAGCTCCGATCGCTCTTCGTCGCAGAGGATTGTAGTAGTGCCTTCTGATGTTGGATCCTGGAGAGCCCTGTTGAGCGTGTCGAAATGTGCGGAGAAAGTAATCGCGAGGATTTCGAGGATGTATCGCTGCAGCTGCTGAACTTGACTGCTTGGCTTTTGAGCCTTGGGAGGAGCACAGTGTCTTATTTCCTTCGGTGGCAAGCCCAGAGGCACGCAGTTTTCACCTTGTGATGTATAAGAAGGTAGTGACTTCGAGGCAGTGCCACCAGTTTTTGAATATTTTTTATCCTCTAGTAGACTTTGTTGTTCGGCTGTGTCGTGTAGCTTTGAGAGACGGTAGCGTCCGAACGGTCCAAGATTGATGATCGGCATGGTCGCGGTGTTGGGAAGGTTAGATGGGTTGCAATAAGTTGAAAGAAGTGCGTTTCGTGGAAGGTCGTAGAGTCTTTTTGTATTTCGAGCCTGCCCAGGGCAGTATTCGCTACCAAAGAATTGTGCATGTGCATGTACAACCCTGTAGCGAATGAGAAGACTAACCGAACCTAGAGTCCGGGTCGAACCTCCCACCCAAAATCCTGACTAGCTTTGCAGCTTACAATAACATAAAACCACGCAAAGTGGGTGATTCAACATTGATGTAGCCTCTAGGCTGCTTTCGAAGTCGAACCTCCCACCCAATACACGGAAAATCATGACCAGCTTTGCACCCTGCGATCACACAAGATCATGCAAAGTGGGTAATCCAACATCAACGTAGACTCCAGGGTGCTCCCAATGTCGAGCCTCCCACCCGATGTACGGAAAATCCTGACCAGGTTTGCAGCCTACAATAACATAAAACCATGCAAAGTGAGTGATTCAACATTGATGTAGACTCTAGGGTGCTCTCGAGGTCGACTCGTACGGGCCAGGCCTGACATTAATCTAGCTCCGTCTTTGGATTATTGCTGCTTCATTACTGGTATGAGATGAGTCTGGAGTATAGCTTTGAGCTGCACTATCTAATCTTATTGTCTACTTAATGGTCTAACTAGTGGTTACATACATAATCCAGTGGTAGATCGGATTCTGCGGAAGCGTCGCGAAGATGTTGCGGAGGCGATAGATGAGATGCATGCGTTTTATCTTCGTGCAGTTGACCTGAGGTGTGAACGTTGTGGTGGTGGTGAGCTTAAAGCGGACCTGTGCTCAGAGCGATCATGTGACTTTCAGCCAGAGTCTGAAGATTGCGATCTCTTTCATTTGATGAGAAGCACCTTTGCGTATGTGATTGATGTATTGCAGGCGTCATGAGTGGCTCGTCTCGCTCTCCGCCATCGCAGTACGATAGATGGGATGGAAGGAACCGAAGTATGGAATCGCGCACACACCGAGACTTTCAACCAGCTGACCGGGATTTGCCAGTTTGATGTTATTGATAAGCTGTGGAACGGCGCGGTATGCAGAATTTGATCGCGTTCGTCCAATACCCGATGACTGATCGAGGCCAGTGAAACGATGTCAAGGCGGAGATCGTCGACTGAGGTACCTCAGTACCAACAACAAAAGACGCTGAGAACATCGATTGTCTGGTACTGGGCGAAAGTAGCAACATTGCTGATTGTAGCGGTACAGGTCTACGTGAAGTAGCCGATGGTGTGACTTCTTGTCTGCGTGAAGCTGTTTGCTGGAGAAGCTGTGTTGCGAAGTCAGGCCAGCTGAGGCAAAGATGTAGGCTGAAGCGAGGTTGGATGTTGAAGCCAAGTTGGGTGCTGAAGCGAGGTTGGATGCTGGAGCCAGGTTGTATGCTGAGGCCAAGTTGAGTGCTAAAGCGAAGCTGTTGACTGGAACAAAGCTGTTGGTTGAAGCGGAACTGTTGGCTGGAGCGAAACTGTTGGCTGGAGCGAAACTGTTGGCTGAAGAGAAGTTCTGTATACCTCCAAGGCAATAGAGAACATGATTAAGAATACCCCCGTCTGCACCACCCCCTATCTCAGTATCGGGGGTGGCCCCAGGCCTAACGGCGGGGACGTGGGGGACAAGGCCCATAAAATGTAAGTTGTTAAGAAATGTTGGGGATACAAGCTGTCTTGGGATACAATGTTTGAGAGAAAGGAAATGTAAATATGATAAAGAAAGAGATGTTGGGGATACAATCTGTCATGGGCTACAATGTTTGAGAAAGGAAATGTAAATATGATGGAAAAAAAGGGATGCTAGAGTTAATATGATACTTGATGAAAGGAAAAGAAATCAAAAGGAGAGACTCCTCGCCCGCATCTGCGAGCCCGGCAGAGGACCCCCTCGGTCAACGGGGACCGTCATCCTCGGCAGGCCCCGAGACTGCCGCAAGTCGTCATGCAGCATGGCGAGCCGCATGTCGAGCTGCCGGCGCTCACCGAGCCGCATGGCGTTGTCTCGGGCGAGACGGGCCACCTGCTCCCGCAACCCCACCAACTCCTCTTTCATCGCCCGAAGGCACTCCATCTCCTCCGCCGACTTCCCCTTCCAGGGCCACGACACCCCGAAGAGCCAAGCCAGGAAGGCCACGAACATGCAGAAAAGGCCGCAAATGGCGGCCGCGACGATGCTGTTTTCGACTGAAGGCCAGTCGAGCCACGGGCACATTTCCGCGAGAGTTTTCATTCTGATAGCTACATAGATACATAATTATTAGCACACTGAAGCCAGAATGCAGTAACGGAGAAAATGGCTTAGAAAGGAAATGTGCACATACCTGTTCCCTTCTTGTGGGTGCTAAAGAACAGGAAGCAGGACGCGGAGCGAGATTTGCTACATTGCAGCTACAGCGTGGGCAGGCACTCCTGCGCTGCTGCTTCACATCTCGTGTACTCTTTCTCAGAAGCTTGTTGTGGGTTGTCCTTGTTGGCTTCCTTGGTTACCCATCCTACCTTCTACAAGTCAAAATTGAACAGGTGCTTTGCCGACTACATCCTCATCAAATGAGAGAAATCGAAATTCTCAGACTATGTTTGCCGACAACGTTAGTATACAAAAGAAAGATCAACAGGATCCTGAGGTAATGCAGACTCCTAGGTGATACGTGTTCAGCAATCCTCAGACTATCTTTGCCGACTACATTCGTATACAAGCCAAAGTTACGCAAAATCCAAAGGTAATGTAGACTCCCAGGTGATACGTGTCCCGCGCGTTCTGAACAGGTGCTTGCCGACTACATTAGGATACAATTCAAAGATTGACAAGATCCTGAGGTAATGTAGACTCCTAGGTGATACTATTTCACTGTCCTTGTATAAGGTGCTCCAATCCAGATATCCAGAATCACGGTCAAGGCCAGGGTGACGGGCACCTTGAAGTATATTTTACATTCCTCTTACTTCGCTGTCTTGCTTTCATGGTAAAGCGCCACGCGTCTCCGGATGCGAAGATCTAATACAGTTACACGAAGTCGACCCATCATCAGTCATGACAATCCTCCTGCTCAAGTACTCGCCTGCTTCAAAGCTTCTAGCTTCTCAACCTGTCTCCTCAGCATAACGAGTGCGCCCAGACTGATCTTCCTAAGTCCATCACGCTCGCCCTCCTCACTACCCTCAGCGCTTTGCTCGACAACGTCCTTGGCGGCTTCAATAGCTTTGTCGAGGAGTTTTGGCGCGCCGTCTTCTTGGCTCCGGTAAAGATATTGTAGCTCCTCCTTGAACGGTGCGACCTCATGTGTAAGTGCGTGATGGATGAATGCGCGAGCACGGAAGTAAGCGCGCTCAGTGTAGAGCGCAGAGCTGAGCTTGGTCTCTGGCGCTGAGCGATGGACGTCGTAGCCGGCTTCGTTGTAGTAAGGTTCCTTGACTAGTACGAGACCCATGATGGAGACGAGAACCTGTAGGAGCGTGCTCTTCGCGGGGCTCCAGCTCTCATTCCGCTCGTCGGTGTGCCATGTGCCCAGTAGACTTAGACAGATCTTGCCGTCCTCGTATAGATTGGGGTTCACGGGACCGTTGCCGTTTGTCCAGCTGTGGAAAAAGGCTGATGGTGCTTCTTGGGGGTATGCCGATCCGAGGTGGAAGTCGATGACGAAGGGCGCGTACTCGTAGGGTGTGTCGTTGGGACCGATCATGAGGACGCGGAGGAGATCTAATCGAGACTCCCAGGTGCGGACGAAGATGCCGGGTGGAAGCGAGCTTCGAAGGATCTTGTGCTCTTTTGCTATCCGGCGCATGAAGGCTGACGAGGAAGCTGATGATTGAGAAAGGTAGTGGTGGGACGCCGGTGGGGCTTCTTCGAGGATGAGGAAAGAAGCTGGTCCCTCCGTGGGCTGTTCTGTATGATCGTCTAGCGCTATACCGCCGTCTTCATCAGGCTCTTCGGGAGTCGTCTTCGATGTATCGACTTCTTTTGTGATGTCGACCAGATCGGGCATGGATGTGTCCGTATTGCCATCGTCTTCTTCCTCTTCATCCTCATCTTCTGTCGACCAATCTCCTTCGTCGCCAACAGGCTGTTCACCATCCATGCCCTCATACTCGATCCACATCTCGTTGAATGACGCCGTGTCGAAATCGCTCTCATCGCTCTCGTCAGAGTCGTCGATGTATTCACCCTCTAGCGGATCCATGTTGCCGAAATCATCAGCCATGTCGCTGCTGTAGGCAAGAGTGACGCGTTCATAGGGAACCTTGACATCCACGACAGGCTTTGCTGCGCCAAGGCGAACCGTGAGCTTCCCGTCCAGGCCCAGGTCAATAACCTCTCCAAACCAGTCGGGGCCAGTGACGTTGAGTGGTGTCTGTACACCTTCGATTGAGTCTGGATGGACTAGGACAAAGTCGCCGCGCCTTCGTGTTAGTGCGGGGAAGGAGTAGATGTCGTACAGACTGACGTCTTCAATGGCATCTTGTAGCTCTCCTGTACTTGACGGAGGAAGTAGATCTGGACCGAAGAACTCAATGGAAGGATTCTTGAACCATCGCACAGTGGCTATCCGATCTCGGCCCTTGACTGTCTGGACTACACCCACTTTCGAAGGCTTCTTTGTCGCAGAGTCATCAGCGTTGTCACCCTCGCGATTCTCTTTGGAGAAAACAACTTCACCTGGCCAGACCTCATCGTCGTCTTCTACATTGGGATCTGGCAGTAGAGAAGAGCTGAGATCGTGCGTTATGGACAGGTCTTGCCATTGAACGGTGACCCGACTGTGAGTCTGCATCACTAAGAAGACATTGAGATCGTATCCCAGGCTTTCCGTCCGCGCGATGCGGGTCACCTTCCCTTGTGGATATCCGTTGGGTAGTTCCCTCGTGCCGTCGTACTTTACAGCGGCGCCGGCGATGTCCTTGAACCGTACCCGATCACCCACGGCCACATCAGTAACATGATATGATTTATCGACACCGTTTTCGGAGACGGGGAGTGTTGTGGCGGTGCCTCCTGAGGCATCGTATCGGTAGAAGTTGGGGCTCTCGAATTCGTCTCGACCGATTGTCGCCGGAGGCTCATCTGCATTGAAGGCGACGTTGCGCGCGCCGATGCTTCTTGCTAGCCATTGCACGTCAATTTCGGATGCTCTTGTCTCGACGACCATGCCCACAGGCGGCACGCTCGGATCGTATGCGCCGAATCTCCAGTTTCCCCGCCGCAGGTTGCCCTTTTTGGTCTTGACTGTGTCGCCTACGCTGAGCCGCTCGAGAGTGGTGTCGTCCTGTTCCAGCTCGGCCGGGTCCTCGACGACCACGACCGAGTTGTTGGCCAGCCTGATGGCGACCTCGTCGTATACGTTCTCTACCCGCCCGACCCAGTCGCCGTAGACGACCAAGGCGCCCTCGACGAATTCGTGCACGTTGATGAGCTCGTCGGCCGGGATGTTCCGTATGGATAGATCGTCGGTGGTTGTCTGTGTGATTTGACCGCCGTTGAAGAGGGTCGCGGGGAAGAGGGTGCAGACTGCCTGGGTGCCAATGACGGTACCACTAATATGATCCTCGGCCTTCCTCTTGACTACATCGCCTACGTAGAGCGCGCGATCCAGCAGCTGAAGCTTTGCTTCTGGTATAAGTTCCGTCTTGTACTGGGTCTGCCATGACACTAGGACGGTACCCCGCGGTGGGATACCGTCTTTCATGAACTTCCAAAAATCTTCCCTGGGGATATCGGTGTGGCGTTCGATGTCGTCGGGGTAGTCGCGCTGTGGCCGGGGCTCGTGCGAGTCGACATCGCCAAAAGACCTCTCTATGATGCCGACGCTGTACTTGTCGTCCTTGAGCCCCACGGTATCCTCGACACAGAAGACGACATCCTGCGCGCTTTGCATTTGGCGTGCTGGAGTATGCGGCGATGTGATTTCTGCCACTTGTGCAGTGTTGACTGGATTTTGCGGTACTGGAAAGGTATTGGAGGCGGTGAAGAAAGGCACAAGGTGATTCGAGGGTAGCGTTCGCGGCGAAATCGGTCGTGTCGGTGCAGCTTCGTCGTCGTTGGTCGAGAGGTCTGTGAGAAAACGATTCTGGAACAGCTCAGCAAGGAAGCGCTCGACTGCGTTAGGTTGCTGTGGTCGATTTGCGTCGTCGTCCGCGCTATTGGGGTTGTCTGTGTGGGAGTGGCCGCGATCCATGAGTCCTGCGGTTCCAATGTTGCGGTAGCGGCCGCATGTGAAGTGCAAAGGGCGCTAACGCGGCAGGGGTCAGCCTCGTGGCACCTCCGCCCGCAGCTCGACACCTGGGCAGCCACCCCACGCACCCCTCGAGACGCAATTCAACAGCTGCACGCGTCATTGGACGAGTGAAACGCGACAACATGACGGATCCTCTCTACGAACTACTGATACCCTACTTCGACGCCCAAGACGCGCAGCTACGGCCCTCCCCCAATGACGCCGTCACCAACACGTACCTCTCCCGCCTCACGACCCTGCCCCTAGCTGCCCTCACGTCCTCCGAGCAGCAATCGCTATCACAAAGCTCGCAGTCTATACTACGATCACTGCAAGCTCTCTCGAAGCGGTCACATAAACCCATAATATCCTCGACCGACCACCTACTACACCTCCGCAAGACACTCCCGCAGATAGGCCAAGATGCAGGCACAGTACAGGCGGAGCTGCCGAATTTGGAGACAGCCGCGCAGAACTTTTCCGAGAAGTACAGCAGAGGCGCAGACAATGCGATACTAGATAGACGGAGAAAGGCCATGCTGCTGTCCCGCAACATTGACCGCGTCTCCGATGTGCTCGACCTACCTACCCTTCTCTCATCCGCCATCAGCTCCTCCACAGCCGCCGCACAAGCCTCGTCATCCACGGCAACCGCCAACGCGAACTATGCCTCGGCTCTCGACCTCCACGCACACATCAAGCGTCTCCACACGCTATACCCCAATTCAGAGCTAGTCTCCTCGCTCACTGCCCAGGCTGAGCAGGAGATGAAGACCATGACTACCAACCTCATAAGCTCGCTCCAGACTCAGGGCATCAAGCTGGCAGGTGCCATGCGAACAATCGGGTGGCTCAGACGAGTGGCGCCAGAACTGGACGAAGCATGGTCAACAAAACAAGCTGGCATAGGCAGTGGAGAAGGAACACTGGGCGCGTTATTCCTTGTATGCCGCTTAGTGTGCCTCGAGTTGATGCTCAGCGCATTAGATCCTCTACGCGAACTTGCAGACCAAGAGACAGACAAGCGGACAACCAAGGCAGCGAAAGGCGACGCTGGCTGGGCCGTGGGTCAGCAAACAGAAAAGTATCTGAAGAAGTACCTCGAAGTCTTCCGAGAACAGAGCTTCGCCATCATATCCATGTATAAGAGCATCTTCCCCTCCGCCTTACCAGCACCAGGGTCCGACGAAAGCGCGCCAGCTGTAAAGCCAGTCAACACCTCCAACCCTCTCCAACCGATACCATCGGCCCTCGCAACGTTTCCGCTACACCTTGTAGAAATGCTTTTCGACACGCTACGAACATATCTACCAAACGTACAAGATCGCTCCCAGCGCGACTCGCTCCTTACACAGGTCTTATACTGCGCTGGTTCGCTGGGTAGACTGGGTGGCGATTTCAGCATGATGATTGCCCTATTGGAAGAGGACCTGCGGGCAGAGCTAGGAGAAGGAACAGAGGATACCGAGGAGCAGGAGGTTGAGGAAGAGTGGGTAGAAGTCATGAAGAAGCACCGTGTCCAGGCATCCAGACTTGAACTACTGGCTTCTGGTGTCGGCACCGGAAGAACAAGTAGTCCTGTAGACCGAGCTGCGAGCCCAATGAGATAAAGCCTTTGCTGTACTCCGGTTTCAATACATGCCAGACGTCTACATGGTCCTTTGTCTTATCGGCACATTGATGCGATAATCCGCGAATACCTCCCGGGTACATCACCGTAACCCTTTCAAGAGCGCAAGTCCCGTCGTATTTGCCTAGCATACGCACTTGTCGTGCACCTCTTAGAGATTTGCCGACCGATTAGGCCTAGCGTGCCTGCATCTGGACCGCTCTAGAGAAGCCGACCAGTGAGCTGCGCCATGCTTACATACAACACCGCGACTACCTCCTAGATTCATCATCAGATCTATTTTGAGTGTGCAACGCCGTTTGTATTCTTCTGGCATGCGCACACTCTGCTATGGTATTTAGAGATACGCTGCAAGTTGAGAGGTTCTTTCCGATCAAATTCAGACATGGAGCTACGCCCTTCTCAGGAAAGGACCGGCGAATACCTCCAGGCTACATTTTCAGGTCTCACTCGAGGGTCTAACTTCCTCCGTATCCTCCTGGCGTCGGTGCCTTCCTCAGACCTGTGCGGGATCATGCCGGATCTTGATATGGACTTTCGGATGGAAGAGTCCCTGGGTTACGATACTTCCCATCCACGGGCACCATCGGATACCTCCCGGCTACGTTTCCAGGTCGAGTGCGAGCTTATAAGCCCGTCTGTACCCTCCTGGCGTAATCATCTTGCGCTGCTCAATCAGATATACGGCATATGCTACGAGGCCCTTGCCGTAGACATTGATAGTGGGCTTACGCTATGCTCCGTAGGAAGGACCACGTATATCTCAAGATACCTTTTTTCACTTAGCTCTAGATTCTAATCCACTGTTGTAGCCTCCACAGGGTGGTATGCCTTACTGAACTGCTGGGAGGTAGATCGATGTATCCTCGAAACGAGCCTCATTGGAGGTTGTGAAATTGAGTTAGTTAAACACGATTGGGGGCCTGGTGCAACTCGGCGTAATTTTGGGTATTGCGGAACTTGTGATGAGCTGATGTACGAAATCCTATTTCCTCTCACTCTCATTCAACCACTTATACACGACCCTCGCGTCCTTCCCTTGATACCTCTCATCCTGCATCGCCTCACCAAAAGCCTCCAGCGTAGGCTTATCGAGTACAGTGCGCGCTCCAACCATCTCCGCAAGCTGACTCCCCATGCCCAACACCTTCGCACAAAGCTCGATGCGAAACCCGCCTTCGTATCCTCGCGAACTCGGCACGTTGGCTTGTATACCCGGTACTGGATTGCTCTTACTCGTGACCCAACACTGACCACCAGAAACATTGATCACGTCTGTGAGTAGTGCGACATCCAATCCCATCTTCGAGCCGATGTTCAGGGCTTCAGACGCGGCGAGCGATGTAATGGCACTGAGGTAGTTGTTGATGACCTTGAACGCTGTACCTGCGCCGATGTCGCCGCAGAGAAATATCGCATCTGGTTTGCCCATGTGGCTCAGATAACTCTTTACGGTACGGAAGATGTCCTTGTTGTTCGCGCCTGCCATGAACGCCAACGTACCGTCCTGCGCACCCATGGGTCCACCCGATACCGGCGCATCAACAAAAGTCAGCATCTTGCTCGCACTGGAGTTTTCCACTGCTTTCGCAACCTCCAGGATTGTAGCTGTTTCGATGGTACCGCATTCCATGATCAGCTTTCCCTCTCCACCTTTTGGTAGTTTCTCCGCACCGGCCAGGACTCCTGTTTCTTTATCAAGATACACCTTCTTTACGGCATTGGAATCTGGAAGCATTGTTATGACGGTGTCGGCTCTTTGGACAGCATCGTATCCGTTCATTACTACTTCCACTGGACCCTGACCTGAAGCGTCTGATTGGAACTTTTCGAGCGCGGAGGTGGACACATCGCAGATCAGGAGGGTATGAGAAGAGTCGAGCCCTTTGCGAAGATTGAGGGCCATTGGGTAACCCATCACGCCAAGACCTGTGTTCCATCAGTATGAAGAAGGCGGAAAGATATCTCGGTGGGAAGGAACGTACCAATGAAGGCCACGGTCTTGCTTGGTGAAGACATATGTTGCTGAGTTATCTGCGTCCGGGTATCTTAATGCCTATGTTTGATCAGTCCTTTCGGAATGTAAGACTTTCTTTTGCAAGTGTTTCCTTAGATCCACATATCTTGGTGTCAAGATGAATGGTGCACTGAGTAGCGCGATGTTTACTAGGGTCCTTCCGCATGGCAGTCGCGACGGACTTACTAACACCGTTCCCCGCGCACCACCATCGATTCTGACTGCCTACTGCCAGCGAGCATCTCCATTCTTAGAACCCCCCTCGTACCAAGCCGCGTCGTGCTTCCCCAAGCCTAGCCCCGCATCTCACCCCGCATTGGGGAACCACACATGGCTTCTCCACCTCCGCAACGTTCGCAGATCGGCAATCCGGCTAATACTCTACACCCTGCCACCGACGTCGCTATGCAGCCTTTCTGTGTCACTCACTCTTCAGGCGTCCTGCGTATGGAAGCGAGTGATGGAGGATTTATCGAAGTTGGAGAAGTACCTAGGCCTAGACGATGGACATGAGTAATGAGCGCAGGAAGGCGCATGGCGCACATACGTACCGGATACACGCGATCTATTCAAAATGCATAACAGACGATACTATTTGACCTTTGAGCTCGGATAACTCATCGGGAAGCTATCCGCTACCGTTTCCCTCGCTCCTTGATATCTTTCGGCAATGGCAACGCCAGACCTTCAACGCTCGGTAACCGACGAGAAACACGAACAAGTGCAGCGCGAATATCTCTCGCAAGATGAAACCCCAGAGGTCATCGAGAATAAGAAGAGGGAAGATGCGTTGCGACGCAAGCTGGACTGCTTCGTTGCGCCAGTCATGATGATGCTCATGCTCATCAGCTATCTAGATCGCGGTAACATTGGGTTTGCTGCAACGCAGGGTATGACAACGGAGATTGGACTCAAGGGGAGCGAGCTGAATGTGCGTCACGGCCCCAGCAAATGTCCTGAAAATGGTCAGACTAACGAGAACATAGACGGCTGTATCGGTATTCTACATCTTCTACATTCTCGCCGAAGTACGTGCATGCTCCTGCTGAGACTCTGTATATCTAACAGCAAATAGTTTCCGACCTCGCTACTTGTCAAACGTCTTCAATTCAACAGAGTGATACCCACGATCACTTTCTGCTGGGGTGTTACATGTCTTTGCACAGGGTTTGTGCAGAACTTCGCTGGCCTGGTTACTACGCGCATCTTTCTGGGCTTCTTCGAAGGCTGCCTGTTCCCGGCAATGACACTCTTCCTATGCAATTGGTACACTAGAGAAGAGCTCGGCATCCGTATAGCATATTTGTTCATCGCGTCGGCGCTGTCGGGAGCCTTTGGGGGTCTTATCGCATTCGGCATCCTGTACATGAACGGAGTTGCTGGGTGGTCGGGGTGGCGATGGTAGGCTGCAGCTTTCGCACGCTTGACAACCCTTGCACTAATGTATGATACAGGCTCTATGTTATTGAAGGCATCATCACCATAATATGGGCAGCCTGTTGCATCTTCCTGGTCCCCAAATCCTTCGAAACCGCCTACTTCCTTAATGACGACGAGAAGGCTCTCATGCGCCAGCGCGCACATCGAACACAGGCCTACTCCGACTCTGAGGGCTCCGGTCGTTATGGAAAGGCTGATATTAAAGAAGCAGCGAAGGACATCAAGAGTTGGGTGCATGGTGTGATTCAGATCGCCGTCGTGACGATTCTGTATGGTTTCGGAACCTTCTTACCCATTATCATCAGAAATGGGTTCAACTTCTCCACCAAACAGGTATTGCTAGCCACTTGCCGGTTAAGATTCGTTGCTGACGCGCACAGGCACAATATCTCGTCATTCCCGTCAACATCTGGGGCGCCATCGTCTACGCAATTGGCGCATACCTGTCTGATCGGTATCAAACGCGGTTCTTACCACTAATCATGATGGCGCCCGTAGGCATCGCCGGCTACGCCATTCTCCTCTCTCCAGTCAGCCCATACGTCCAATACTTCGCCACATACCTCATCGCAACAGCATGCTTTCTCTGCACCGGTGGAAACATAACCTGGCTATCTGCGAACTGTGCACCCGATGGCAAGCGTGCCGCTTCTCTAGGCATCCTGCTCACACTCACCAATATCGGTGGAGTCGTATCTGGCCAGATCTATCAGAACAATGCGGCGCCGAAGTATACTCTGGGTCATGCGTGGAGTTTGGGGTGTTTGGCTTTTGCATGGTGCGGATGGTGGATTGTTCGGGCGATGTATAGAAGGAGGGAGAAGAGGAAGGATGTCAAGCTTGCCCAAGGGTATACTATGCCTGCTGGCAAGCAGTATACGGACCGCGAACCGGACTTTAGGTATCAGATATAGCTGTGCAGTCGTTCGAGGCCCACGAAGAGCCTACAAATGTCACATTGATAGACTTCGAGCTAGAGGATGTCGCGTGACTTTCAAGTTTCCGGTGTCAGTGTAAGGTGTAGCGTGATGCGCTTCAAGATCTTTACGGATAGTGTAAAGAATGCCACGGGGTAGCTTGATGTATCTCATGAGTTTCACGGACCGCGCAGAGAATGTCCAAAAGCCTTGAAGTATACCAGGCTCCTATGTAACAACGACGTGTGACGGATTTTACAACTCCCGGGTAACTACACGTAGCCCAGCTGATTCAATTCCAGGAACTATGATGTTAAACTATCCTCATAATACTGCTCGATGAATTTGATGTGGTCCGCCTATTCCAGAACGATGTGATGCTCGCTGAGGTCGCTCTGGATGAATTGTTCCATGAGCTCGCCGTTCATTACACCATGGATGTAACAATCGCTTACGAGCTTGTGCTGGCCTTCTCTTGCTGGTGTGAGGAGGAAAGGAACAGTTGCCCCAAAGATGATGCAGCATACATCGCCAATTTCGACCAGATCACCCAGCGGAGCTATTCCGATACGCCCATCCCTAGTCAGAAACATGCTTGCATTGTGGACATTGTAAACGCTCTTTTTGACAGATATTGCATCTTGTCTCTCGTCTACCTCCATCACAGCCTCCTGATCACTTGGTCTGGTCACACTGATACTCTTTCTATATGCATCAATGATGCCTTGCTGTCTCTCGTCGGAAATGGAGGAGAAGCTACTGTTTACTCGGTAACCGATCATCAAGGTGCGGAAAAAGTCGGCATATCGTACTGCGATGCCCAATCGTGACGAGCTTCGCACCACATCATCCCATGACGTGTCGATGAATACTCCATGAAATCCGCTAGTTGATACATAAGTGGGAGTGTTCTCCGCACGGTCGTTTTGTATCGTAGACGACCTCCAGATGACGGTGTCGAAGGTGCAAGCGCCAGCTGTCACACCATTCCTGCCATACTGAGTGACTGTAAAGAGTTCTCTGTTACCCCCGGCTTGGAACCAATAGTTTGGATCTGCCATTTTAAGGCGAAGTTTACCAGCAACATGCCATATCGGTAGCCAAGAAGGATGCATGTCGCCCATAAGTCTTTCTCTACTGTTGTGAGTGACAGCCGAAAGAACGAACGGCGCTTCTGCGGATTCCCCCATCAGTGCATAGGCGAGACGAAGATTGAGATCGTCTATCGAAGAAGTGTAGTCTGCCTCCACGAACGTGCGGCCTGCACTGGCAATCGCGGCTGAACAGCCCAAGAATGCGTAAACATGGTCTCTGGGATCGCTTGCTTCCAGGGGCCGGGCTTCCATAAGGAGCTCCCAAAAGGGCTTCTCTTTGAAGAAAGTGGTGGCTAAGTAAGCCAATCCGCTGCGGGATTGCTGCCATCGTTCCGGCTGATGGATATTGTAGTAGAGATAAAGAGCTATGCGTCCTGAAAGAAGATTCGGGTAGTACCCAACGATACCCCAGAGGACATCCCGGAAGTCTTGTTTTACATCTATCCACGTTGCTAATTCCAATAGATCGGCAATATCAATGCTGGCTGAGCCCCAATAAACGCGACATTCCTCAGCGATGGCGGATTCCTGAACAGTCCATACTCTTCTAAACCAAGGTAAATCGAAGAGGCTCACGACCCTTGACCATCTTTCTCTGTACATGGGAATAGGGTACGGTTTCGTAAAGGGTGCCATTCTGACTGTCTTTTGGTTCGCTCGTGAGAACGAAGTCGCAAAGTATTGATTGGCCTCGAGAATTAGAGCGAATGTATCTGCACCGATGTTTGGCTCATCGCAACCAAGCCAAACAAGTGTACGTTTCGCGTTGGCATACACCTCACCCATTCTCTTCACTTGATGTCCCTTCTCTTGATCATCTTTCTGATTGATGCACAAGGCATCCGCCCATAGTACTCGAGGCTCAGATGTGTGTCGGAAGTTTCGCAGCGCATCCGCGAGGCTAATGGTGATCGGTACTCGCAGTCCATCACACTGCACTTCGACAGTATCGTTGGGGTCGCCCCAAACATATGATATCGCTTCATATGAGCCCTTAGACTGTTCTATGTCGACAATCTCGAGGCCGCAGTTGATGTCATGGTCGTTGTCGCCGGGTTGTAGTCTTAGTACGCGTATGAAATCGCCCAGAGGTAGTGGCCGGTAGATCGTATCGTTCTGTGTTTCGTCGCATACTTTCGGTCGCTTGGTTTCGGGAGGCGAAGAAGGGGACTCGATTCTGCGTTTTGACATGCTGAGACAGATTGCTAAGAGGACTGGGTGAGCTTGTAGAATTGTGGTGTTGGTGGTAGGATGTAAGTTGGGGAGGCAGGCTGAGGGCTGTGCGAGAACGCCGGCAAGGCAGCTACAAGCCACCCACATGCTGATAGGCGAGCCGTCATGCGTGGACGTGGCCCCCGACACCCTCGGTAAGGTATCGCTGGAACTCTGGCAGATCATTATCGGCACCAGAACGCACGCCAACTTGCTTGATGGGACGTCAACGGGCACTTCCTTACAGCGAACATATAGATATATTAGACCTCTAAAGACCACTTGTGCCCCAGTAGTATCTAATGCCAAACAAAAGAAATACCCCCATACCATGTATATGCCTCCCAACCCAGCCGCGGAACCAACCAGTCCCGCGACAGCAAATGCCGCCTAACCCAAGGAAAAGTGGTATGCTGTGGTATCATCCATATGCGAGCCCTCAAAACGCCATGTAACACCATTCCAGTCCATCAGACGGACTGCTGATAGACCGTGTAGACCCGTTGCTTACGGGCAGGTCAGACTCCTCGTCCTCTTGATGTCGCCTAGTCCCAACACTTCTCCCCTGACGTGCTTGGGTACCTGAGCTTTCGCCCAGCACTGCATAGCTACTCTGCGCATGAGTTCTACCTCCTCGTCCCGCAGTCTGAGTTGTCGCTTCGCTAGCTTGCTCTTCCTGAGCTTGACGCCCTTCTCCTGAACCGCTTGTCCAGATACAACGAATGGCACCGTGGGATGTGTAAGCCCGCGCTTCGAGCCGGGGCGTTCGGTCGTAGGAGACGAGACGAGGGACTCGAGGTTCACGCACTCAGCGATGAGAGCCTGAATGCCAGCGGAAAGCTGTGTTGCGCGCGAGAGGATATAGCCCCAGATCTCCGAGCCCTCCCAGAACGGGTCGTTTATAACGGCGTGTTGGAGCGCGGGGAGGATGTGGGGGAGTGGAGGCAGCGTTCGGTCCTCGATGTGCTGGGGTGGTTCTTCTTGCGTTGGCGTTGCGATGTTTGCTGTGCTAAGCAGACTTGCGGCGATGGTCAGGCGGATGTGGCTGTCGGTGCTGAGAGTCGCTGTTACGACACATGCTGGGCAGCCCCGGGTGCGGCACCAGTCTGCTTCTTCGGTTATGAAGCACTGCAGGCCGATGAATGCGCTGCGGGATTCGCCGGAGAAGGCGAGCTCGAGATCAGAAGCGCGTTGTGTGCATAGTGCGGCCGAGGCCAGTGTGGATGCGCGGGAGAAGAGGGTTACGACGGGCATGATGAGGGCGTGGAGGATATCGCGGTGGAGTATGTACGTCTGTTTCGCTTGGGGAGAACATTGCGTGTGTGTTGCGCAGAAGCTGGCGTGCTTGTTAGTACTTGATATTGCGATTGAGGTTTGCCGTGGAGCTGGGGGTGAATAGGCATGTGGAGGTGGAGAGAAGCGATACGAAGCGCGATAAGCTGCTCGCGACGGGGGAAGAGGAACAGGAACATGAACATACTCAGCATCACCAGCCAGATGCCTCCTCAGCGCGCAAAAGGCCTTTGACTCGCCCAGCGCCTCTACATCCTCATGTGGGATCACAAAAGGGCTCTCCATCGGCACAGCGTATCCGTAGTCCATCGTATCTCTCTGTCGGCGTGGCTATCTCGCTTCGCATCGGTATGCAGTCGGGCTATCTCGAGTCGAAAGGCAGACGAGAACGAACAAGCTTCTTCGCACGACGAGGCTAAAAAGCAAATAAGAGGGGGAAGAGCAAAGCAAGCAAGATGCTAGGGAAAGAAGACTTCGAGGGTATTATCATTATTCCCTGCAACGGACGGCCGTTCCCTATTTCACCCCCCAAATGACGCGAACGAGCCTCCCTCATGCCCAGGAGCTCCACCCGCTGCTGCGCTGCCGGGGTGGAGACTGCTGTAGATCTAGACTTGCATATTGCGCACCCCCCTTTCCTTATCCGCCCACGCTTGTGCAGAGCCCGTATCCCACGACTGCTTTATGTAGCCAACTAGCTCGCGCCAGATGGCATCACCACCGGCCGGGAAGTACTGCCTTTCGGATTCGGGCAGAAAACGCGGCGTGGGCGGTTAGTCCCCTGTTGAACATCAACAGCTTGCTTTTCTCCGCACTTCAGCGGCATCAACAACGAAGAAGCGGTGGAGCTTTTATTTTGCGACCTCGTTAATTTGAGGGGAGCGAACTGCCTCCTGTATCTCATACAGCACGTGTCCCCGCGCCTACGTACTTCTCTCCCTTTCCCCTAAACCAATTTGCGAGCATGATCTTCAATGATGCAAGCGCAGCTATACCGACCCGACCGCACAGAGGCCGATCAACCCGAACATCGCGATCGAAACGAAAACGACGTCGTGGGTAGAGCGGTCGGTTGACAAGGACGACCCCGCTGAAACACGTTTCGATAAAGATAGTCGTTAGCCCAAGGGTTCGCGAGAGGCACTAGATATCGCGACATTGTTAACTGCCGCACTATTGGAAGCGCGTAGCGGCCGACATCACCACCTCAGCTGCGCCATCCCTCGGCTTGCAGATGTCATGGACGCACCGCCTGTATCTCTATGCGAATGGTTCTTACACCTGCACTGCGAACTATTCGGCCCTGCGTCGCTGGCGATATCGCTCGGTTTATGAAATATGGAGCCGAATTACGCGTATCGCTTGCTGGTACCGCGGCCGTGAACAGGGTCCGTCCCGTCAACGTCGCAACATGCTACAATGACAGGACAGAAATGTTTGCGTGGAACGGAAGATTGTTGGTGAAATTTTCATGACGCTACAATGATTGATTCAGATACAGGCTGATACGGGCTGAGAGTGGGAATTGGCTGACGATGGCGTTTGCGCTACGGAGGACGGGCGCTCCCGTGATCGACGCTACAGCAGGATGCAGTCTCAACTTTCCTGCTTGAGATGCACTATCGTGGTGCAAACTATCAGTTTCGCTGTTGAGATGACGTTGCCCAGCCAGTACCACGGCTGATGTCGACGCCTCTTCCCCCTTTCCGGTCTTCGTTCTTTCCCCACGCTCATCCACCAGTACAGTAGAAGACCCCTGGGACGTGCAGGCGCATCGGCTTTTGATCCGTCGATTTGGCTGCTAGTCAGGAACGACTGAAACGTGCAGTCGCACTATCGATCAATTGTCTTGTAGCGCACGCCGGAGTGACAAGCGTTCGAGAATGATGCCATATTTAGTAGCATGACAGATTCGTCTTGTAAGAAACGACTGCAGCTAATGTAGACTTTGCGTCTATCGGACTTGGGTACCAGTGGACTTCAGATAACGGACAAGCTATGCATCGGCTTTTTGTGGTTTGTTGCACTTCGATATCGAGAACGGTAGCTCTAATGAACTCTAAGATTTGTTTGGACAGACCGTGCCGCCGGTATCCTCTGGTCGATGATAAAACATTACAATATCAGCGAAGCCTTCTTCACCTAAACCAGAAAACTGAGTACGACCCATCGTTGCTAAGGATGCGTCGTTGGGTGCCGTCGGCAGTCTGCTTCCTCCCGAAAGGATCCGTAAGTAGCATTGTAAGCTTCTCTGAAATCGGGCCCATCTCTTGCTTCGACACAGGTATGGGTGGGCTCAACAGACTCGGATCAGGCTGCAGGATGGCAAAGATGCTGCTTTTTGATCGGCCGATCATCCGACGATGGACATCTTGCAAGTGGTCGTATAGGGGCCAGAGTGTCTCCAGGTATCGCGCGGCAACGGGTTCGCATGGTTTACATGGCTCGAGCATATCCATGCACGACTTGGCGTACGTGAGATCAGCCTCGACTCCTTCAGTTTGACCGTCCATGAGTTTAGTCGTTGCGCTGAAGAGCAGGCAAATGGCAGCTGAGAATGCCCAGTAAATACTATGATCGTTAGTTCGTGGGGTGTTCGGGTTTTGTATATGAACTTACATGATCCAGCAACGCGTTGTCAGCGTACCGTCAAAAGAGATAAGGCTCAATATGCGAGCAATGTTCTGGGCAGCCATTGCACATTCCTGTCGGTATATCTTGACATCTTCGACTGAAATGTTGTTCAACGCAGATGGAATTCCGTCGATAAGCTGGGCTTCTGCTGAAGCCACTAGTAGCTGGCGGTATAGCAGGACCAGTGCACCAAGATACATGATCTGAATCAGTCAATAAAATGATGACACAAGAAGATGGAAGGTTTCCTTACGTGCAACATAAAGACCGCTCGCCTTTGGAAGACTGTCAAGTCTTGTGCGGCACTAGACAGAAGCGTAGGGATCTGTAACGTTTGCGGAACTTCTTCACGCCACTTTTCCAGCTTCATTGTGAGCATGGTGATGTTCCCTTTGGTAGCTAGCTCTGGAGATGCCAGTGTCTTGGCAACCTCGGCGGCTATCAGGTTGATCTTGCTGGTTTGCATGTGTATGAGTTCATCGATGGACAGCTGATCTTGGCGATGGGCAATGCAGGCGACCTGGCCATGTTAGTACCATAAAAATCAATGTAGGCTCGCCCTGGCATACCTGGATGTCACTGGCTGTCACCTCAGTGGGATAACCGAGGGTGTAGGCAAGCCATGAATCCATGAATACGAGGCTACGGAATATCTTTCTCCAGTGGTCGTCCGTTGCTGAGCGAGACGAAGTTTGCAGAGCCGGATACTTCCAACGGGCGATCTGTAGTCCTGCAGCTGTGGCTTGTTAGTACAATCACATGATCAAGTGTACGAGTTGAACATACCGATAAGATACTTGGCGCTCATGTGCTTCTCGAGCAAAGAATAAAAGGACAAAGATAATAGCAAGCGCATTGTGCGGAAATAGTCTTGTCTGGCAGTCTGCTCGTTGAAATGAAGGGTCCCGGATGCGTAGAGCAATCGGCGCATCCGATCAGGGAAGGCATCGATGTCGTAATGCGCGCCCATAGCAGCAACTGTGAAGCATTCGGCAAGTGTCATGTCGTCCACCTTCTTTTGGGGCCGGTAGATGCGGTCAAGTATCTCATTA